TTTTTTTTGTTTATTTAGCGTGGGGATTTTGTCGTTGAATATGTTGAAAATCTATACCTCAATTCACCTATAAAGACATCACGTTTCAACTAGTTCGAATGTAATCACTTATACAGCATATCACTATTGCAAGTTCTATTTAAAAATACACTGATTAATGGAATCCCAATGCAAAAATGGGAATATTTAAAAGTAGTTCCTACATGTTCTCAAAAAGTTGATATAAAATGCGCAATATTAGCTTTTTAAATTAATCAAACTAGCTAGTATAGATGCCCGTGCGATGCATGCTAAAAATAAAAAATAAAGAACACTTGCAATTAACGATTAAATATTATTGAACATTTTCTTACCTACAATGTCCTTCTTCTTAGAGCTATTTTTATTATCACAAATTAATATTTTCAACCGTCTCTTCATCTTCTTCAAAATCATTTTCTCGCTGAGCAAAATTTTCTTTGTCTTCATCCTTAGCATTCTTTGTTGTTAATGAGCTCGATTCACCAAACAACTTTCTCTTATAATAATATTTCAATGGTGGCGATTCCTTGGGAATTGGATTCTTTTTTAGACTAATCGCCTCGTCATCATCAATTTTTTCTCGTCATCCACATCAGCTCCCTATAAATGTAAAAACCAAATGATTAACATTATATACTTTAATTTTATAAATTCATAATATTAGTTAATTATTAATTAAAAATATATAAAAAAATATAGCACTCCTAAATTATAAATTTATATGCATTGAAATTAAAAAATATGTACACATATAAGTAGTAGAATCTGTAGAATGTTTTTGTTTCATTTTCTACCATAATTTTGAACAATAAAAAACACATGGCCATGATTAAATTAATCTATTAAATCAGTCTATATATGTTCGTGGATAGATTAAATTAATAATTACAATTACTAATGAAACTTTGTGAACTAAAAATTTAGGTTAAATCAATGTCACAACCAAAATAATAATCTCATTTCAAATAAGTAGGAAAAAAAAACACTATTACTTAAAGTTAAGAAAAAACCTAGAGTAATAATCCAAATACCATTACTAAACTTAAATTAATTAATCCAAAACATATCTAAATTTTCACTGCAACCTGATCGACAATTAACTTTGTGACCATGAAAAGCAATTTCGTACCTTCCTATTGTTGTCTTATATGAAATTAACAAATAAAAAAAAAATTATAAAACAATCAATTATAAGGGAAAAGTATTATAGTTGAGCATCCGCAAATGTTGTACGCTCGTAGAATCTTACAACACGAACCTTAATGTTCCATTCAGTCTTGTCCATGTTCACATACTTAAGGAGAGTGAATGCCATGATTTTTTATTTTGTTTGTTTGTTTGTTTTTTTTTTTCTTGCTTTCGTGTGTGTTTTGCAGTGAAGGTACGAATGACGGAATAGAAGTATTTATTTATTTATAACGATAACGATTCAATACTTAATCCCACTACAACTACAATAGTAAAACATGACTTGTTAACTGCCACACGATAGAAACTGCTGAGTCGTTAACTGCACGATAGAGTGCCAGAACTTTAACGGCTAAACGATTCAACCACTTACTGTAATCCAATTAATTCGTTATTTATTATTTATTATTTAATGTAATCCAATTCATTCATTATTTATTATTTATTGTTTATGGTTTATTAGTATAAAAATGCGGCAGTTACGAATGACGATGTAGGTGAAACTTAATATCTGAACACAGTATATAGTATTAGTATTACATTTACTATATTATTATTATTATTAAATATTTTCGTTTAAATTATTTATTTAATTTTCATAATTCATACTTTATAAATTAAAATAATTATAAGTGTTCGTATGCTTCTTGCCTAAGTTTTATAAATTTTTTTATCTTAAATTTTGTGTACAAATATTAAATCTAATAGTAGTGAAATTAGATATAAAATATTTTAAAAACATGTAACACACAAACATTCTTCATAATAAATAAATAAATAACATCCTCCTTATATATAATTCCCGAATGCGCTGAGCTTACGTGGCTGCTTCTGGTGCTTCGTAATCTTATTTGGCGAAGAATCATGCTTTGTAATTAGGTTTGGATAAATAATATGATATATTAATAATTAATAATCTAGGTTCGGGTATTCCATAAATATTATTTAGGTAATTTAGGTATTTTAATATCACTTTTACTAATATAACCCTTTAATTCTTTGTAATTTTACATAGTGAGGCACTAAGTGACTAATATATCCCTGAATTTTGATTTGTTTCCTTCAATAAGCTATTGAATTATAAATGTATTTTAAAACTTGATAACTTTTGTATTTCTTATCGGTTTTACATATATAATATATCAAATTAATCATCTTTTGATGATCTTCGATTTGACATCCATATTGTATATATATGAAATAAATAAATTATATTTATCTTTATAATAATAAAAAATAATAATATTTATTGAAATTCATTAGAAAAATAAAATTATTTTTCAATTGATAGATTTATATGTAATGTAGTTATATATTGTAAGTTAAAAAAAATTAGTATAATATAACACAAGTAAGTTGCACAAATAAAAAGTGTCATAATAAATATATAATAATATATATATTCTTATAAAAGGTATTTAAATTTTCAAACTACTTTTTCTCATTAATTTTAGATTTTAAGAAAAAAATTAGCAAGCACCCGTGTAATACACGGGTGTTGTACTAGTGTTTGTAGAATAAAGTAGAATAAAGTGAAAAATTTTAAAACTTAAAAATTGAAATGTACAACCACCCACGTGGGATCAACATGCAATTTATACACTTTCCCAATATGGAAAGAGTATTGTAGGACCCACAACTTACTTTCCAAAAATAAAAAATGAGTTGTCTAATTATATAGTAAATAGATAAGAATATTTTTTGTCGAAATTCTGACATGTTACACCTATGTGTCCCAAACACTATGTAAACGTGACTGAATTTTCTCTCTCCTCAAGAAAATCCACAATTTCCTTTAGAAACCCTTGACAGGTTACATCTATGTGTCTCAAAGTGACAAAATATTAGAACCTAGGGAAGAGAATGCAGTCCGACTAGATGAAACGCATCATAAGAGGGTGAGCCTAGATGCACCTTAGTGAGTTTCCATCCCAAAACCAATTAGTGATGGGAGGAGTAACCCACCAGGCTTATAGGTTCATTTCCCTTATAGAATCAATGTGAGACAACCCACAAGATATTCCAACACGTCCCTCACTTGTGAGTCCTTCGTAAGCTCAAGCCCACATAGCAATGTGGGACAACTCACAAGTGATATTCCAACACTCCCCCTCCCACCAGATGAAGCGCACCATAAGAGGGTGAGCATAGATGAGGTTCCATCCCAAAACCAATTGGTGATCTGAGGAGTATCCCACTAGGCTCATTTTTCCTATAGAATCAATTTGGGACAACTAAATGATATTCCAACACTGAATTTTCTCTCTCAAGAAAATCCCCAATTTCTTTAGAAACCCTCGTCGTTAATTTTCACCGTCTCCGTGACGACGCGACGTCGGCCGTCCTCGGTCGTGCGGCTCATCTCTCGAGACGTCGGCTGACCCTCTCCGATGTAGTGTTTCGCCGCACTAAAAGGTTGACTATGTCCAGGGAGTCTTCGGCGGGCGCTGAGGGTGGTCGAACGGCAGACTCCAATCATCTCCATGGAGTTGGTCGGGGCCGAGGTGAGGATCTTCTTTTACCCTTTTTCATTCTTCATTGGTGTTTGGAAGTCGGGCCGGATCGGGCTGCGGGCAGAAGGGTGAGGCTCTGGTTGTGGGTAAGGGGAGTTTGTCGGGTCGTGTGTGGTGGCTGCAGTCCGCGTTTGGTGTGCAGGATGAGGAGGAGCTGGCCTCCGGTTGCCGGTCTGGAGAGGTCCGCTCGGGTGGTGATATTGGTTGTCTGATGTGGTTTCAGTTAGCCGAGTTAGTCGTCTCTGGAGTTTCGGGAGCTATGTTTGGGTTGGGTTCCCATCCTCGTGGTATGCTGACTCCGGGTGGCGTATTCATGGCGTCACAGTTAATGACCGGTTGGGGGAAGGGTTTATTATAGTATCGTGTATTTTCTTGTTGTGTGTTGTTTTGGGTGTTGTTGGTGTGCTGTTAGATTCTTCTCACTGGGAGTACTATTCTTCTCTTTAGGAATGTGATTCTTTTTCCTAGAAGTTTGATTTTCTTTTTGTGGGAATGTTTAGTTATTTGTGTAGTGGGTATGTTAGTGTGGCTATTTTTAGGATGCACTTAACCTTTCATTAGATCCGGCTTGATGACCACTTGGCTTATTATTCTGATTGAGATCTAGTTATAATTATATGTTTTTATGCTATAAAATCTATGGTTTCCAAAAAATTATTGGTTTGACAATTGACTTTTGTGGTATGAAATTGTGTCGTGTATTGGCGTGCTGGGAAGAAAAAGAGAGAGTTAAAATTGATGGGGACCGCCCGCCCGGAACGAACTAATACAACCGTAGACTTTTTTCTTAATTCAATTTCTTTGAATTGGTAAAGTTACCATTCACTTATTTTTATTTCTCTTTCTTTTTCTTCTGAGGATCAATAAAACCGTAAGTTTTAATTTTTTTTTTCTTTTTGCTTCAAAATAAAATATTACTCGTTGATAATAGCATAGCATCCTATTCATATACTATCTCTCAAGAGAACATTCTATTTCTCTAGAAACTCATAACCAATCCACCCAACTTGTTTGATATCTCAGATTAATCCTATTTAAGAAAATTAAAAAAAAAAATAATAAAAAATACATGCAATAATCTTAACGAGCTTAATTTATTCAGCACATCACAGCAGTAACACAAGAACATGCACACAAAACACACAAACTAAAAAAAAAAGGGAAAAGAAAACTGACAAAAGTTCAATCATCACAACACCTATACATAAAGTACTTCTCCATCGGCCGGTGGCACTCGGAGCACACCACCGTCTCCGGCACATCCTCGCCTCCCGGCAGAATCAGCCGGTTACAATGCTCCACCGTTTGCTGGCCGTCCAAATACTCTTTCAGCCCCCGAACAAACCCTTTCGCCTTAGCCTCCTCTGCCCACTTACCGAAATCTGTCAATGCCTTGACCATCACGTCCCCTTTCCCCCGAGCCATCTCCCCTTCATCCTCTCCCGACCCCCGGCTGAAAATCGCCCATCCTTTCCCGTCGCTGAACGACAGCACGGTCAGCGCCTCTCTTAGAATCCGGTCCGTCTCGATTTTCGCGCCATGCCGAATCTTTGACCGCATCATGCTCTCGACTCGCGTCCAAAAGTACCACACAGACGTTGGGTCGGTCCAGCTGTGGCTGAGCCCGTTCGAGCTCACCATCTCGTTTATTTTTGTCTTGCCCGGGTTGCCTATGTACACCATCTCGACCCCTGTTTCGCCACACGCGCTTCGTGTTGAGCGTACGAATTCACGAACCCATTCCTCGTTTTCGCCTCCGAACAAACAAATCACCTTATCCTCCTTGACCTGATGATATGATCAAAAGTCAAAACACATTTGATCAGTTTTAATAATATATATGTTCAGAATAATATTGGAACAAGTACACCGTACCCAAGTCAGTATGGATTTATCGATGCCATTTACAATCAATTCGAGTCTCCACGTCTCGTTTCTCCACAAGGCCAACTCTTTTTGTGCGGAAAAAGGGTACGCTAAGTTGCCCCATATCCTCACCATGTGTACAGCATTCGGGCTGCTCACCTTGCCTTGTGGGTCTAAGGTTACCATCATTGGTGTCTTACTGTAGTGCCAAATTTCGTTGATGTACCGTATAACAGCCCGTTGTAGAAATCTCGGGTGGTTCAACGTGTACCATGGCATCATCGATTGTAACTGCTCAAACTTTTTTTGATGCTCTTCGTCTAAAATTGATGTTGTGATCGGAAGCCACACAATTTCGTATTGAAACTGTGCTCTGGTTCGTGATTCTTGGTAAATGTGGCTAAGTATGAGAAGCTCGTAATGGGAGATGATTTCTAGGTCTGATATCAGCAGCAAGACTGTTTTTCCTATTAGAGCCTCAACTCCAACCTGTTTTAAATAAATACCAAGTTTGTATTTTACATTATCTGAAGTTGGATTCGGCTAACCGTAAAAAAATGTTACCTTGAGGCTTTTGTTGGTGCCGATTTCAAGTGGCAGTAAGTCATCCTTGAGATAGATCAAGTGCTTCAGTATTCTCTGGTTCTCCATGTGCGGTGTTGTGTTGAACAAGTGCACAAGTGTTTGGAAATATTCCGCGTTTTTCTTCTCATCTGCAGGATTTAACATTTTCAAGCTCTTTAGATTGGATCACATAAAGATAAAGTTACATAATCAGCAGTAGAGTTAATTTTTCGCTTACCTACATATTGATGACATAGAAAAAGTTGTGTCTTGAGGTGTTCAAGAATGCTAGACAACTTATGTACCATGCTCGAAAGCTCCCATGTCTCGGCAGTTAAAGACATCACTCTGGAATTTTTAGAACGAAGAAAAAGGGAAAAAAAATGTAAATTATACACACTTCCATTTTTTTTTTTCCAAATTTTAAACATCATTTTAGGAACTCACTTATTGCTCAATCCAAGAGTCGCGGTAACTTGAGAAGCACACGCCACCAAACTTCTCACAACCCAGTAAACGCCAGTCGGGATGTTCTCCATTGCCACGCGCAGAGGCTCGGTTTCGTTAGTTATGTACTTAGACGGCAGCCTCTCAAACTCGGTGAAACACCTCGTTAAGTCAACCGAAACATTGACAATAGCATTGACCGTCTCGAATCTCGATCTCATCACGTCGGATAACTCTATCAAGTCCTGCACTCGCCTGAGAATGCACACCGATTTCGCGAGCTGGTCGGTTGTGAAGAGTGTGGCGACCAGCCAGAACTGAGCGTAGTTTGCAGAAAACGAGGCCAAGGCGATTGCTGACTTGGCGTCCCATGTGTAAGTTGATAGCATGTTGAGTATTTCCAGTGTGAACGAGTGCCCGTCTCCTTGTGAGAAATTGCATGATAGCTGAAAAGGATTATACACCAATCACAATTTTTGAAAACCAAAAATCTGAGTATTCTAGTTAGTCACATTGCTCAGATAGCTACAAGACTAACATTGCAATTTGCGCTCACAAATTAAACATGATTCATCAGACGGTACTTTACTCACCTCACATGAAATCTTGTTTATTACAAAAGCCAATTTGTCCTGAATAGCGTCAAACTCTATCAAGGCTGCATTGACCTCTGCTCTGCTTGCATGCTCTCCCGATCCCTAATTACGAAACCAAAACAAGCCAAATGAACTGAAAATTAGCCCACATTTTAACCAAGTGCACTTTGAAAATAGAAATCAATATATTGAAAAGTACATTTAGAATGCCATCAATGGCAGGGGAAACAAGTTTCAGAATATCTTTTACTATGACAAGAATTGAGTCCACATCAACAGCGACATTATCCGGAGAATGGCTCGTCTGAATTTGCTTTCTGAGTGCATCGTCATTTGATGACATCAAGTGACGATCTCGGCGAATCATTCTACGGTTCTTGGCAGGCTCAATAACACTTCTCTCTCTCTCTCTCTCTCTCTCTCTCTCTCTCTCTCTCTCTCTCTCTCTCTCTCTCTCTCTCTCTCTCTCTCTCTCGTTTTTTGTAGGATTTCACCGTTGGTTTTGTCGTTGGGATGCTAGAACTATATATTGACAGGGAAAGGGAATAAAGCCATTTTGGATGAAGTTCCTTGCTTGTAGCTGTTAAATGTTTAGGGCCGTCTTTTTGAACTAGAAAATGATTGCTACTGTATATACATACAGACGAATCTTTAAACTTTTTCAGTCAGTAACTCAGCATAAATGTGTAATAGCTTTATAAGCCTCAAACATTTTAACGTATCGTAAAGAAACCTCTGTTTGACGTGTTTTTAGTGCATGAACCTCCAGAGAGGTTCGTTTACTAGACGCAACTAACAAAAACTCTACATTACAATGTTAAATTCATGTAGAATCTCTTGCACAGGCAACATTGTGTTTCTCTAAAGAGCTGTGTAAGTAAAAGACAATCTAAATAAAGGGAAGGATTGGGAGCATAAGATGCTTATAATAGACAACAGCTATAATGAATGCTTTGATGTTGTCTGTTGCACCTTTAACTTTGTCAAAAAAAATTAGTTGCATTACCTTGAGATAATGAGGAGAAATAGTTCCTTTCTTAACTGAATCAAAAGCAAAAAAGGAGATGAGTCCAGAAATGGAAAGCCAAATTTTCACTATTTCAGTATTTTGTTATGATATACCACCATGAAAAAAAAAAAAGCTTACTAAATAGTAATATTTGCTT